CATAATTCACATAAATATGTTTTGTCACATCATGTCCGATACACTTTGATCCGGTATTGATGTTACTGAAATATCTTTTTCGGGTACGGCTGTTGCTCGTATTAATTTTACAAAAATAGTATACAATGGTAATTTTTATCCATTGTCGTCATTTATGTTTATGACTTATAACTGTGACATCATAATTGACATTTCTATTCTATCAAATTGACATGATATTGTAAGGATTGAAGAATTATTCTCACTATATTTGCAGTTATACCCAAGGGTAAACAACGGCTCTTAAAAACTCCTTTTCTAATTGTCGATACTCTTTTCCTTTAACTGTTATTGTAAAGTAAACTAAATTAATGAAAAGAAGACTACAATAGCAAACTAGATGGAAACCCCTTTATCAGTTGTCTTGACATAAATCATGCATATCTATTTTCATATCTTACTAATAACTGTCAGAAAATGTTGTAAGTAAATGACTTCTGTGTATAAATGTCACGTTTAATAATTGGAGGTGACTAAAATAACGAGATTTGATTTTCTCATTTCTCTGAGGTTTGACGAACCATGTGACAAAAGATATCTGCTAACATCATCAAAACTGTCTTACATTTAAAATTTCAAATGCTGACAGTATAACTAGTTCCGTTTTATACAAATGAGAATAAAGACAGCTTAATTGATGGTGATTTGTAATTCATTTACCATCACTCATTTACAAGTCAAAATATTGTCAAAGTGGGTAAATGTGGTTAAAAACAAGGTCATGATATCATAAGAAATTTTACCTTCAATAATCGCTATATTCGTATAATACGCAGCATTACCACTAAAACATTTGACAGCACATGGTAACGTAAACAGAATGTTAACTATATACAAAGTAAATATCTAACGTTTAGCTATGCTTGATTTACATTCTTAAGTAATGACTTTTGTGAGAAAATTATTTAATTTTTACCTCTGCATACAATTATTTCCTGCATTATGAGGGGCATAACATTCATTTCCATCCTCATATGGGCAAGAATATTATTTAGTATTATTATTTCCTAAATTAAAACAACTATAGGTTTTAAACACACTATTTGGCATGTAACATAATGACAAATATATATAATTGAGGTAAATTATATGGCCTTCCAAATACCGTTTCGATTCCTAACATCACTGAAGAGACACTATTTGTCGAAATCCGGATATGGTGTACAAAAACCTTTGCACCTTTTGTTTGCGGTATATCATCTTTTCCGCAAGTTTATTGTTTTCTGTTTAGTGTTAAATTTAAAATTAAGATCCATTTATTACATCTGTGATCCGTTTATTTGGAAATCGCCAATGGCAGTCAGCAGGGTTTAAGAACATTTGTTGTTCGACCTGTTAGTCAAATGCGTTTTGTTAAAATATACTTTTCACTTTTTTGGTCTTTTGGAAAATGTTGTTTGTGCTGTATTTAGACCCCTCTAACAAGAAATTTGTTTTGCATGCACACGTATAAAAATTGCGGTTTTTATCCAACGCAATCATAGGTTTGAACGTTGTTTTCAATTTAGACTTTTGTATATATATATATATATATAATCAAGTTGGCGATTGCTAAATAAACGGATCACAAGATGTAACAAAATAGATCGTATTATTAATCTTTTACCGAACAGAAAACAATAAACTTGCGGAAAAGATGGTATACCGCAAACATGAGGTGCAAAAATTTGTACACCATATCCGGATTTCGACAATTAATGTCTCTTCAGTGATGTTAGGAATCGAAACGGTATTTGGAAGGCCATATAATTTACCTCAATTTAGGATAGACTCCTGAATTTTAAAAGAGTCAAAATAGGATGAACGGATCATATAAACCCGAAGGCAAATATAATACAAGCCCAAACGAAAAAATAAATACAAGTCTAAATTGAAAACAACGTTCAAACCTATGATTGCGTTGGATAAAAACCGCAATTTTTATACGTGTGCATGCAAAACAAATTTCTTGGTAAAGGGGTCTAAATATATATACATAATTATACTTAAAGTTTTGGGAAACAAATTACAGTTTTACGGTATCAGATATATATGTATTTACAGACATTTTCTAAATTTACGCATATTGTAAAATGTCTGAGGCATTTTAGAGATTCAGGCATTTTATATATTGATTATTTTCTTGCCTGGAAAAAATTAAATGCATATTACAACATGCCTGAAATTATTTTATAGAATGAAATGTTAAGAACACCGAGCCAATTGAACAACAAAGCAGTTTTATATATGATAAATATGAGCACCTGAGGTCACCCCCAGTTTTTGGTGGGGTTCGTGTTGTTCAGTCTTTAGTTTTCTATGTTGTGTTTTGTGTACTGTTGTTTGTCTGTTGTTTTTTCTTTTCTTTTTTAGCCATGGCGTTGTCAGTTAATTTTCGACTTATGAGTTTGAATGTCCCCTTGGTATCTTTCGCCTCTCTTTTACTAAGTTTTAACGTGTGCATTTTAAATCATTTAAAATAAATTCTTTTGAATCATTTAAAATTCCAAGCTCTGAACTCGACAATAATTTTTTATTTCATATAATGTTTAGATGGGCAGGGTCTGTGACACATCGGTCCTGACCGTTTTATCAAATACAAATTGTCTTTTCAGCGCATTTAGGGGACGACCATTTCAAGGAAGAAGGAGGTTTTAAGAATGGCCTGGTAAGAGCTGAAAATAATTAACTTAGTCCAAGACAGCATGAAAATGAATATTCTGCAATACAAAATGCAGGAAATAGTTGTGTACAAAAGAGAAAATAGGAAAACACTAAGCCTGCGTAGCAACATATGAAAATTAATAGTTAATCCGCAAAAAAACCTTCCCCCACTCCTTTCCACCCCAATATCAAATGATTGTTCCCTTAGAGACTGAAGTAAATCGTTGCTTAGCTGGTGATGCATGCACAGTAGGAGATGCTTATCATGTCGACGCTTCTAATGGACTTATGTGATTTATTAGAGTTCAACATCGACAAAATACTCTCGCTTTAATTCATCAGATTGTAAAGATCCAAGAATTGCCTTGAGACAGTGACGCTGACGATACTCATATCTTTGCATCACAACCAAATACAACCTTTAATTGTGAAACCTATGCTATAAATGGGGATTCGTTTGGCTTTGCAAGATGTATAAATTCGCATTCTTTCTGAATGGGGACATTAAATATGATGCCTCGTGTAACATCCTTTTTTTATTATATATAACACACTTCGGTTAATTTTTTTATAAACTCGCGTTTAAATTTTGTTCTATTGTAAGAACAATTTGTCCTGCCATCATTACAAGAAGATCATAAAATGACTATCTAAGATACAGAGTGAACACATACTTAACGTAGCTGGTATTTAAAGTATAAACTTAATTTTTATTGAACAACTAGTTATTCTTTTCGACCTATTAATTATGATTGTTCTTTTGGTATCTTATAGTTCTTGTTTACTGTCTCAATTTATCTGATTTGCAGCTAGAAACAGGTACTACCAATGTACACAGCATGTCTCTTACTAGAACTATTGTAAATAAGATACAACAAAACGCTGCTAGCAAATATTAAGCTTTTGCATATATGAAGAGATATTACGGAAGCGTATTAGCGCCACACAATTTTTTTTTTATATTTTTTCCTATGTTTGCGTTGTAACGCAAACCTTTGCGAAATAACGCAAACATTTGCGTTACAACGCAAACATTTGCGTTACAACGCAAACCTTTGCGTTGTAACGCAAACCTTTGCGTTGTAACGCAAACCTTTGCGTTGTAACGCAAACCTTTGCGTAGTAACGCAAACCTTTGCGTAATAACGCAAACCTTTGCGTTATAACGCAAACCTTTGCGAAATAACGCAAACATTTGCGTTATATTGCAAACATTTGCAAAATAACGCAAACTTTTGCGTTATAACGCAAACCTTTGCGAAATAACACAAACATTTGCGTTATAACGCAAACATTTTGATTTTAATTATGATTCATTTTGAATATTTAATAATAAAAAACTATATATAATATTAAATTTACATTTTATGTTTATTATATAATTTGAAAGCAGTGTTTTGTAAGGGAGCTACCATTTAATTTTTATTGGGGGGGGGGGGCTAGGATGAAAAATTGTGTCCTGCATTTTTTTTAGTTGTAATCTCGGTCCTGCCTTTTTATTTTTCACATTATTCGGTCCTGCATTTTTTTTATTAGTTTATCCTGACTTTTTATTCATAATTTTTCATCCTGTCTTTTTTTTTTTGCCAAGTTGATCATTCTGCTTTTTTTTCTTACTCAAAACTTTCAAATTTCATCCTAGCCCCAAACCCCACCCCCCATAAAAATCAAATGGTAGATCCCTAAATGTCGACATTTGCATGTCCGTCTGTCATCAAATTTCTGTTGTGATTTAGTTAAGAGAAGAACCATGAACACAAGGCCAAATCATTATAATAAATATGCATAGAAATAAAGGAATACTTGAAGTGCAATTATACACAAATTAAGAATGGTTTTTGCATCAGAAAATTATATAAATTTAACAAGTAAATAGATATGGTATAGGCAAATTTTAATTGAAAGACCAAGATTTTGAAAAGGTTTGCGTTATAACGCAAATGTTTGCGTTATTTAGCAAAGGTTTGCGTTATAACGCAAACATAGGAAGAAATATAAAAAAAAACGTGTGGCGCTAATACGCTTCCGTAAGATATTACCAGCTTTTGCATAATTTAAGAGACATTACTATCTTTCGCATAAATTAAGAGACTTGAATACATGTAAATAAAGTATGTACATTCTTTCGATGGAACTAAGCGATACCTTTATACTCTTATTATTCCGAAAATCAATGTTTTAATTTGTGATTGACTTCGTATGTAATTACTCAACATTTTCGTATTACTACTTATACTAACTGTTAAGGAACAATGAAATAAAGCAATGAGCTTAACGCTGTATTTCTGGCGATACAGTTGTTAAAAAAAAACCCAGACAAGTTGGTACCTTTCTTATTATTGCTCGTAAAAACTCCATAAAGCCTTGTAACAACGCCAATATATTTCGTAAAGTATCCACGACCGGGACAAAAGGTAAAAAAAAAAAAATTGCAATCCGATAATTGTATAAGAATACGAAGATGTGTCATGACTGCAATGTGACAACTTTCTAACAGAGACCAAATACGTAGAAGTTAACAACTATATGTCTCCGCACGGCCTTATACAATGAGCAAAACTCATTCCGCATAGTAAGCTATAAAAGACCCCGATATGACACTTGTAAAACAATTCAATCTAGTTGGATCGGGGCGGAGAGGCCATGCAACAGACCACCTACAAGCCAATTAACTTATAGATGCAAGGATTCGTTTCATGTACATAGAGCGAAAGTATAGCACTTTTTCAAACTTCCGGGCCCATTCTGATCGGACGTTGCTGCGTATTTATACATCCCACACAGCCAAACGAATGCTTCTCGTTAACATTTGTGTAACTTTCGAATTGGTGAAGCCCATATAGTCAAATTTATATATCCTAGTCCTTTGACAGGGATGGATTCAGGAATTTTGAAAGGGGGTGTAATTTCCGATAATTGAAGTTATACACCCGAGCGGCACGAGGCGAACACATTTTGGACGATCGTGAGAAACATGATATTTAAAATTTTTGTGGCGATCAAAGGGGACGTACGCCAGTGTTTGGGGATTCATTTTAAAGACCAATGTAAACATCTCAATTGTTCCCTGTGATACGAAAACTAAATGTATACAGCAGAAACAACAGCTGCAGCAATGTTAAAACATCGTGAACCTTATACATAGAAGAATACTAGAAATGGTTATATAAATCACCTGTGAGCTCTGGATCATAAACAATGTTGCCATTTATCTTTGTTCCTTTCATGCTTTGTTTATTAGTAATTTGTACTTTAAAATTTACAGACCTTCAAGTACTCTGTTAATTTCTTCGTTTAATTTTAAGTACATACGATTTACTGATAATAAAAAGAAATTATCACATTAAGTGTAATTACTGCTAAACACCATTGCGCGCATCTTCTTTTTATCCAGATACATCTTTAGAAAAATGTTCATATGCACTAAAAAATGACGGTTTGCACTTTTCAAAATAATAATGTCGTTATACTCTTTATTGGTGTCTTTTAACTGTTCCATTGTTCATCTTCTGTGTTGCATTTAATTTGACTTGTGAGTAGTATCCCTGATTAATAAGGTTAGTTACTAAATAGACAATAGTTGTTAACAATAAAGGTCTTATCAGATTGTAATTTGTCCATTTTCTGTCCTCTTATTTATGAAGGAATCAAAATATCACGGGTTTTTGTTATCATAGTTTGTGTTTCGTATAAACAGCACGGAAGATCACGAAAGTCCTTTCTTGAATCTGAAATAGAGATAATTTTTTTAATAGATGACTTGTTCAATGTATCAAGAATATCAAATGATTGTTATTCTCAAAAACTATTACTTCCATACATTATAATTACCTATTCTATCTTAAACCTTCACGTGGCTGTCAGAAATATATTATTTCATCCAACATGGATATTGAAAACAACAATCCTAGTTCTATAAACTGAAAATTCGAGATTTAGATATGAATCTTGTGGCCATGTTGATATAAGAGACCTTAAAGTTATACAAGACCAGTTTCTAAAAAAATGATGAAAATCTAAAATTAACTGGAAAGACTCCCTTGTTTCTTTCTACAAATTGTGCTGATTTTAATTAACGTTATATTTATATTACTCAAAAACTAAACAAGATGGATTTAAATAAAAATGATAAAAACGTTTACTAAATATTATCACAAATAAAGAGATCAGTTGTGAAAGTTTGACCCCACCTGCAGGAAATTGATAGAAAATGGTATTTCTTACCAAACAAATTACGATAATATTATTTCAACAGTTGAAGAAGTGCCATTTATTTATTTTTTTTTTTTTTTTGGGGGGGGGGGGGGGAATAAATAGACTTATAAAGGTTATAATCATACTGTTCAATGTTGCTCTATCGTTGCGGTTTTAACAGATGAACATCCATTCGTTAATTTTGAAGCAAAACTACATGTTTCTTGTGTTTTTCTGCATTGAAATTCGGTGCATGTTACCTCGGCGCTGTAGAAAAATTATTCGTTTCTGTACTATACTGCGAGCATTCTTTGTTTTTTTGTTATCTATTACTATTACCGCGATGCTGAGCGTTAAATTGTTTTCTTGTACTGATTTTCAGTGTCTGTTCTTTAGCGTACCTGTTGTTTTTCCTCTGAACGAGATTAAAATGGAAAAGATATCTCATAAAACAATATATAAAGTGCCTGTCCAAATTCAGAAACCTTATCATAATTGGTTGTCTTTTGTCAGATCTTATTGTTTTTAATCAATGGGGGTGGGGGGGAAGGGGGGTAGGGTGTTTATGGCAGATCGTTGGAGGTCTCTGCATGTTATATTCATTCACAACATTTTAGAAAATGGGCGATTTAGAGCTTGACATCTGTCTATTATCGTTAAAATCCGTATGTTGACCTCCATATGATTTTTATGTTGTAGGGTTGCTGTCTAATTGACATTTTCCTCGTATCTTTTATTCACCTCCATTTCTTAATGTCATAGAAAATGGATACGCCCAGAAGATCGACACAGTAAAAGTAACATTAACGATGGTTTACTGCCATATTCGATCTTTTTTAAATTAGAATAAGTACTTTGTGAGTTTTATTTTTAGTTTATTCTATTGTTGTACAATATGGCTAACAAAAATGATTAGTTTTTGATTCTTTTATAGTAAAGATAAGTATCTATGACAGTTTGGAATAACAAAAAAAAAAAGAAACAAAAAAGAAACATTTAAGCGATTGTTACAGATACGCCCATACATATTTTTAGAAGCAAACGGAAAGACCTGTTGTGTGTGGAAATCGTCTTTTTCCTACGGTTCACACATAGTCCCTCCATTTTATTGAGTTTCCTATTTTGCCCAACATCATTAAGAAATATATGTTTACTCTGTATGTGCACTGAATTCATTTGAAAATATTTATCAAACAATATGGTGATTTGAATTTATGTTCATATTTCAATTACATGTTGTACTCTGTGACTAGTATAGATTCAAGCGATTTTTGAAGAAAAAATGTATATCAATTTTAAATAACTGTTCAAACAAAATTGCAAAGTTTCTTCACTGCTATGGCATGTTTAGCTATTTCAGCAATTCTTATTACTTTCTTATACTAAAGATCGAATGAATAAAGCTGATATTTTGTTAATTTCCTTTTTAATTGTTACATTCAAAGTGTCAAAATCAGAAAAATGTTTATACCTACTGGAATTTGTATACTAAAGAATCTTTATTATGTTCCCAAAACTCGTGTCAACAATTTGACTTATACATGTTAGTAAAATACAAATGTTGTTCAGCGCTACATTCTGCTGTTAATGACAACTGTTTTACAAATTTTTGTAAAAATTTGCGTCGGAGGACATTTAGTATTTGCCATAGGTTTTTTATTAATAAGCATTAATGTTGTTAGAACTTCAAAGTGAACACATGAATCTGTGATACTGTAATTTAGTCAAGATTGAAACACGCTTTGAACATGGCCAACGTTTGAAATAAATTCAGAGGAAATTGGCAGTACATCTTTCCCTGTAACAATTTATACTAACAAGCATAGTTACAGATACGTTTTTATGATTCTGTTAACCTTTTGGCTTCATATTTTGTTAATGATATAATTTATTATATGAATTAGTGCTAAATATTTGTTTGGCGACAGAGCAAACATCACTACTTACCAGTAATGTATTCTAAATGAAGAATAAGAAGCCTAAATATTTGACATGTTGGAAGAGTTGAGAAATTTCTGAAATATCTGTGGCTATCTTTCAGGAATGTGACAGTAAAAGACATCAGCTGTTGGTTTCTAACTTATAGATCGTTGCACTGAGGTGCGATCATTTTCTTTAATGTAAGTATCTACTTTTACGTTGTTCAAGTATCAACAACTTTCGAAAGTAGAAACGAACTTCATCATGATGATTTATTTTGAATTATGGAATCGTATACATCATCACGATAATTGTTGAAATGTCAGAACCAATAAAAACAAAGAACTTGTAAATTACATTTTTCCTTGTTAATTACATTGTTCCTTGTTAATTACATTGCAAGCATTAAATGAGGAAGATATACTACGCATTATAAAGGATACATCATTAACATAACGGTACAAAAAAGGACATTTATATATACATTTGATAAGTGGTTCTTGGCATTGAACAAAACATTTGATAAGTGGATCTCTGTATAATACAAAATGTTAATATGCCAATGTTGCTAAAACGTTAACGTAATAAAAGATGTTTTCCCAAACAATTCGTCAACAGAAAATATATAAAACAGTCGTTTTGGAGTATGTTGTTTATAATTTAGAATAATTAAATAAATTATATAAAAAGGAAATATGGTATAATTGCCGATGAGACAATTATTCATAAACATCAAAGGACAACGATGTGAATTATTACAAGTCACCGTATGGCCTTCGACAATGAACATAAGCTATACTGTATAGTAAGCTATAATAGAGACTACGATATGACAAAATGTGAAACAATTCAAATGAAAAAGAAAACAACGGTCTGTTTATACAACATGTTAAAGTTGGCTACCCTCAGTGAGCAACTGTAGATTTATTGTCACTTGCAAATGATGAAAGTTGGTTAATAGATCGTTCCTTATATCGGTGTATTTATTGCAATTAAAGAAGAAATGAAATGAATCCTCACGCGGACGTCATGGGTAGTATAAGAAAATTATGCCTTGTGCAATACCAACATACAAGTATAACAATAATGTAGTACAACAATTTATAATACCTTAATAGGAATGCATGTTAAGTTATATGTATTAAAGTAATAAAAATAAGATTAATGTTAGTACCGATATCGACAACATTGAAAGATAATACTACAATGCTTTTTTCTATTTGTTGATATTTTTACAATTCACCTAGTCCTAGTACATATTTCTAAATTAAGATAATGACAATGCAACGCAAAACTGTATCAAATGCCCTTAAATATTAATTTCCGACGTCGTCGTATATATATAGGGGTCGTCGAATTCGTTTTTGCGAAACTGCATGTATCTGTATGTTTATAATAGGTTTATTATTATGGATAGTATCCTACTTTACGAGCTCTATAAATTACATCATAGTACATATTAAGATATCATATCCCGTTTGATATAAGATTTCTTCGAAACCAAGTTTGTGTATCTATGAAAGAACTTATAAAGGTTTTAGGTAATTTTTTGTAACGAAATCTCTTACTTTATAATCTATATTTAGATTACGTTCATTGACATCTAAAACATCACAACAGTCACGAAAGTAGCGAGCGGGTTAGGAAATATGGGGTCATAGAAACATTACTGTGCAAAAAGTAAAATGATTAACAAAAAGTATCTTTTGTCGCAAAATTTAGATTCGAGTTTCCCGTGTGAAACTCAAATGTCAAAATTACAATTGTTCCTGTTAATATAGAATTTACTCAAAGTAAGTTCTTTGGGGTAAATTTCCGTAGTATAATTAGAAAATTCTTGATTTCTTCAAGCAAATTTATCATCAAGGTAACGGTTAATGTTATTTTTATTTTTCTATTAAATATAATTTAGACGGATCTTTACCGTGTTTGACCATTAACTTTTTTTCTTATAATAGAGGAACAAGTCTGCTATTAAAGGGCTGCAATTGGTGCCCATAAAAATACCTATAACCAGTCGATAAACTGTTTTGTCGAAACGAACATAGATGTAGTTTGTAGACTGTTGTTTTTCTTTTCGTCGTTTTTCGGTTTTTTGCCGTTGTATTGTCGGTTTTTTCCCGCTGTGTTGTCGGTTTTTTTTTCAACTTGTGGTTTTTGATTGTCCCTGTGATATTTCTGATTCATCGAAGTTCCAGTCAATATAAATATATAACATATTTATCATTTTCATGACAGAAAGCTTGATATGAGTCACAGCAATCATGCATTAAGATTTTCTAAAGGATCATTTGATTAAAGAAAAACTTCTGTTTGCTAAGATAGTGTGAAAGTGTAGCGTAGAGTCAAAAAGTCAACCTAATCGAAAGGACGATTAAATGCACATTATTTATCTGAATCATCCAAGAAAAACAGTTTTTAACACTCCAAAAATAAATAATTCCAAATTTTTTCATTTAACTTTGTTACAAGATCAACTAAGTTCTTTACATAATAGTCCCTGTCTAGTTAAAAGTACAAATGTATTAGTTGTGAAGCACTTTTTAGAACACATATACCTAAATGACCTTCATATTTTGCATAATACATATTTATCTATATATGTCTTTAAAATATGCATGTATTGTTTGCTATTTAAAAATTGATGTCCATGGCATCAACAGCCACATAGAGAACGGATGCATAAGTTATGCTGTATCCGAATTTCTGCAATCGGTGAACAAAGCAACAACATCTTATGTTGAGCACTATAATGACTATTCATTTCAGACGTCGTCGTATATAGATCGTCGACTTCGTTTTAACGATACATCTTTCAAGATCTTTCAATCAGATAAAAAGATTTGTATCAGTTCTAACCTCTCTTAAAATCTGCCAGAAAAGGTTAGGAGAACTGTTCTATAATACTTGACAGAAACTATTCTACCAGAGAAAAAATTGAGACAGTTCTACCTTAGAACTTCGGCGAATCAGAGTACGACAAGAGGAGTCAATTTTCTGTAGATTTAAATAATATATGTAAGAGTCTACGTACACGTGTTTTATAATGAAATTAGACATCCAGTTATATAAAATAATTTCTTCTTTATTTGTGAAGTTTGAAGGATAATGACTTTAATACACTTCGGTTAAAGTACTAAATTTAAGTACATGTATCATATACTGTGGTCACGAAATAAAAGTACAAACATTTACATTCTTTTATTTTTCTCAGTAACAAAATACAAAAGATGATTTTATCACTGACTAGATTGTTTAACAAACGTTTCATAAGTTAAGTGTAACGCTTAGATTTATCTAAAATTAAACACAGGTGATTGGATTTCCTTCAGAGAGTAGTTTTATATGTAACCTCAATCCAGAAAATAAATTAAAATTACATTGAAAAACATATTGTTAATTATTTGGCCGTATCCACATAAGTTGTCACAGATAATACGGTATTCTAAAGCTTGCGTTCCCTATCATGATTTCCTTGATAGTGCTGATTACAAGGAAGCTATTGAAGCAAAGGTTCCATGTTGTCAAGTTGAAGTCATCTCTTCGAAAGTTTAACGAATGCATTTAGAGTTGGCTGATCGTTTAATATATACAACAGGACTTATGGTCAATCGTTATCCTGCAACATCTCTCCGTAGGCAAAAGAACACTACGGAATTCGAGAACTGGGAACTGCGACACCCTATTGTTGCATGACAATATCGATGGTATAGATATTCTATCTATTCCTTCCTGAAGCTCGGTAAATGTGTTGAATATTTTCAATTCGGCTTCTCGGCGTATGATGTCATCGTCATTATACATCACCTTCTCTTCATTATGTTTCCTTTGATGACCTTCTGTCATTTATACAGACGCCGTTTTGGGGTATTCATTATATTCGCACGATTCTGTATTCACTACCCCTTTCGAAACTTTAATCTCTGTACAATTTATGTTTGGAAACTACTGTTACAAATCCACTTTCAAACCAATACAAACTTACAGCTATCATATCAAATATTGACAGTCACACCAGTCATTGACTTTTCAAACCAGTTGGTATTGGAAAAGATGTTACTGAGAAACAATCGCTTCCAATACTGTCCTTGCCAACAAAAGGCTTTGGTGTCCTTAATTCAGGCATTATCCTTCATCATAAATCGGTTCAAATAAAATACCTCCCTTCTTTTAAGATCACTCAGCTCCTACCATAACTTATGCCTATACAACACCTATTGCAACTAAGATTTTCAAATTTAAAAACGTGTTGCAGAATCTTGATATTGACGGCTTCAAGTATAAATTTCCTGATGCACCTGTGCTAGTTCCCCGTTCATATATAATCCAAATCTCCACGTTCTGACTAAAGTGCCGAAATACCGTGAGCCTATATCCATAATTTGATAACACAACTTCAACAGACTAATTGATTCAGTCTAGGATTATACCAGGCAATGGGCTAAACGCGAAAAAGAAGACGCGGCTACTCTTTTTGAATGGATTCAGGCTATGAGGTCGTTAATACAAAGTAGAATCATACTTATGTGTAAATTATAAATTTTACATAAACTGCTTGATAACGGAATTAGGTATTGACAGTTCACTTGGAAAGTCAAAATATACGCCGACAACACTTACCCCGCTCATTCTATACTCAAGAGTTTGCGTTTCCTATTATGATTTTATTGATAGAGGATTGCTGCTTTCAAAGAAGCTATTTAACCAAGGGTTTCGATTGGTGAAATTGAAGTCACCCCTTCAGAGATTTTCAGACGCCATTACGAGTTGCTTAATCGTTTTGGAATATCTATGTCACATATGACCACGGATATGTTCCAATTGTCGTAACCACTATCTCGTCCTCTTTACCTCGATTGTGCCATCACCGAATAAAGACTTATCAACGGATTGTGTACTTACCATGAGCAACACGAACGATGATACTAGTGGAACAGGATTTGCTTACCTTTCTGGAGCACTTTAGATCTCACCAGTTTATGGTGGGGTTCGTGTTCATCAGTCTTCAGTTTTCTAAGGAAGGGTTTTCTAAACTTGTATTCTATTCGTCGTCTACCGCTTTTAATGGCGTTGTCAGTTTCTCTCGACTTGTGAGTTTTGAATGTCCCCTAGGTATCTTCCGCCTAGTTTGTTTGTTTATTATTGCAAATCATATAAAATAATAATTTGCAACAATAAGTACACGAAAGTGGCTACCAAAAATAATCAATTGGAATGGGATACAATACTAAAAATGTATTATAAACAAAAATACCGAACGTCAAGGTAAATTCAAAAAGTCGAAGTCCATAGAACCTGACAAAATCAAACACTGTACTATTTCAACCAACGGAACGAATTGAAAAAAAAACTGTCATATTGATGACTTGGTACAGGCACTTTCCGAAGAAAACATAAAAACTTTTGCATGAGGGTACTAGTTAACAAATTCTATATAATTTTGTATTTGAATATCAGAGAAAGGTAACAACAAATGATTTGTCAGCCTTGATTGTAGATGTTTTGATTGAGAAATAATGTGACCATTTATTTTGCTTCGAACGCCACTTATATAGACAAATTGTGCATCTGGTATAACAATAGTAAGCCTGGTATATGTTTAAAAAAGATTTCCCAATTAAGAAAAAAAAATGTTAGAGATGTATAAGGAGGTGTAAATATACTATTCGCATCTGACTATAAAGTAATTTTCTTTTCATAAAGAGAATAACAAAAATACCGAACGCCAAGGTAATACAATGGGAAGTCCACAAAAATAGACAAAATCCAACGTTATCATTCAATGGAACGAGTGTAAAACACAAAGTAGGGCTGAAGAGCTTCTGTGCCACTGAAATTTTGAACTGGTTGAATATCAATGAGAACGGTAAATTAAAAATATTTCTTATCTGATTTGCTTGCTATATTTTCATGGAAGTACAACCAGAACGATAGTGACACCTTTTTCTAATAATGCTTCAAAACGTGGTTCATGTAATATGTATTTGGCTTCTAAACTTTCTCTCAATCTTACCTGATGAATGTTATCACACGTGTAATGCGCACTGAAATCGATAAGATTCATTTCTGTGTTGATATTATGTTCTGTCCTTTAGTATCATGTTTTTTTGCTTTTGTTATCACACCATAAATGCGACGTGAGCTTTATGCTGATATGTAAGAAGAACGATAACTGTAGAACAAATATGATAGCTCTTTAATGTTCAATATTTGTTATAAACTATTCATAGATACCAGGATTACAATTTTTGTACCAGTCTTGCTAATCTGGATATTGGCAACCTCTACTTATGTAGTTTAATAGAGGAACAAACAGAGTTTGAACTGCATATTTATGTTTCGGGAATTGCAATTTAAATATTTTGATTAAAAGCTTTGATTAAAATATTATTTATAATGATTGAATGAACAGCATCAACAACTTGAGAACTTGTTATACAAAAGCTTCTGCATGTCGTTTCAACCTTAAAGATATCACCAGCATTTTTTTCTACTCAAAAGTATTTTCAAAAACGGTCTGTGCAATGTACCACCCAAAAGTTTGGGGCGGTATATTTGCAAATTGTATGCACCTAGACTTCTTGTTTTATTGAGTCAAAACTTTAGAATATATTATAAAAAAGGGTGTAAGTTTTTTTTAATGAGGATGATTTCCTAGCTTATTCTTTATATGATTATTCTTTTTAAATTCATGAACTGCGGTAGTTTTTGGATGGACAACAATAAGGTAATTTTATGTGTACATAGACGTTTTCTTTGTGTAGGTGCATTTCTATAGGCTGATTTGGGGTTACTAATATATATTTTTATTTTCAATTGACATTACGCACCTACTCTCTCCCTTTGAAAAAACCGTGTTTAAAGCCTTATTCCGAAAACAAGTATACAAATATAACATATCAAAACATAATCATATTGACAAACATTTTTTTTTTCATAATGATATATGTATATAAATATGAAGCATTATTTACTCACTGAATGCATATATGTATATACAAATACTCATCAAAGATACCAGACTTAAAATTGTGTACGCCAGACGTGCGTTTCGTCTAAAAAAGACTCATTAATGACGTTCTAATCAAAAACTTTTCTAGGACGACAAAACAAATAACATGGCTTCAGTCGCTCTGAATGTGTGCTCGATTTTGCCTATGATCAGAAACCAAGAACGTGTATAATAGGCGAGTGACATTTTTCAAAAAGACACTTAGTTAACTACTTAAAGCACCCATCTAACATACGGCTATATTATATATCATTCGAAAGCTCATTATCTGTACTTTCTGTTATGCCCGGTCGTCAATAATTCGTACGGTGCAATTTTTGTTAAATCAATGTCATAGGTCAAGAATGAACATTTCTAAATTTCGCAAATAAAACAAAATGGTCCTTGCTGGTTTTTGTATGACATTTATTTTTCTTAAAATCAAATGAACATAATAGAATAGAATAGCAGAATTCTAAATCAGGTGCACATAAAAATGTTAATTGCGCAATAGCTACAGAAAATTGCAATTTTCAAAAAATCCTTCAAAAATGATAAAATTGCGCTAAAAGCTAAATATTTCTTTATGTATCAGTATTTATATGTCAAACTTAAAAATAAATAAATTTATCGTTTATAGGTGAAGAAAACTGTTTTCGTCATTTTAACTGCAATTAATATATTATTGGTCAATAATAAGCCTTCTTATTAACCTTTTGCAGTTGCCCTTACAACCATCATATGTTTTTTCACAGGTTGCCTACTTTTACAAGAGAGGTGAAAGATACCAAAGAGACATTCAAACTAACAGACAAACAACAGTACAAAAACACAACATAGAAAACTAAAGACTGAGCAATATGAACCCCACCAAAAACTGGGGGTGATTACAAAACATTCTTGGTGATGATTGGTTGAATTGTTGGTGTGACACATACCCAGTATTTTTACAACTGTGTAGTTTTTTTTCACGTAATACGAAGTTGAAGAGCATTGGGGACCCGTAATTCCGAAAGGTTTTGCCAAATACAACATGCAACTGTATGTAACTGCAACTTGTCAATTTTTTACAAGAACATTGCGTAGTTTGATAGGGTTTCCTACTTCGGACAGACGCAATGCTAAGAACATTTTCATTGTCTAGAATATAATAGTTTTTACTTTTTTCGTCAATGCACGATGCAATTGAAGCAACCAAGAAAATATTTTTTTTCTAATTTGTATAAGAGATATATTTGATTTCAACTTTTCATTAATTTTCTTACTAACAATGTAATTATCTATTTATGTATTTAGTTTTTTTGGGCTTGCTTAATATTTATAGATAAAAGTCTTTTATTTCTTTTCATGATAATCATGAAATAACAAACAAAATAACAAGACATGACAGACTGGCAAATCAACTACATATTGAAAATATCAAAGTTTAGCGCCCTAAATTTCCTTAAAACGTATGAATCCCGCGTTTATTATTGCCTCCAAACATTTATGCATTTTTAAATTGTGTTTCTTCAACCTCATATTGATTACATACATTTTTTTTTTCAAGTAAAACAGCTAAAAAGCAATCTTTTTGCAGATGGTGTTATTTTGGGCAACTGTATAGGTTGTTATGATTGGTTGTGTAATTAGCAAGAAGCGTGATTGCAGTAATATGACAATGCTAACAACTTTCTTAGCACTAAATGAAATATGTTGTTTAGTTTTATGGTGATTAACAATTGAATCACAGACACATATTTTAGTTTTCACTCATTTTTATTATTTTCACTGTAACTTATGGAATAGGCTCTATTAATTAAAAATACGTCATTCACATTTCCATACAGAATTTTATTATTTCAAAGACAGAATATGCAAAAATGCTGACATTTCGTAAAATAAGAAATTTTCCATCCTTGACCTTTCATCGCGATTTGACAAAACTTGCACCGTACGAATATTTGACGACTGTGCAAAAAAGATAGTACAGATGATATGCTTTCGAAATGGTATATGATTTAGCCGTATGTTAGTTGGGTTCATTAAAAATGAAATTGTGTGGTTAATGTCACTCGACTATAATAACCAACAGTTTGTCAAGGAAACTGTCGATCCAAATTTAGTTTCTTTTATATCGATAAAATTTGAAATAACCTAGTTTTGGAAACGCAAACCGCGAAAGAAGAATAGAGAGCATGATTAATTTGGTAGTTAATAACAACGTAAATGTAAATAGTTATAAGATCCTTAAATCTGAAATGGAATACAACAATGAAAATGTAATTGCAAGCTACACATGCAATAATCCTATAGATAAACTAGAGTATGGTTGGCAAATTGTCTCTCAGATAAACAGAACTAGGAAACCAAAAAAGAATAAGCACGAATAGAGTAAAGGCGCTAATCCCTTCCATGTCATAAGACAATAGCATTTTAATCCTATATAATTGTTTTTATTATAATCATTGTCTAGTTTAAAATTTTCATGGAAGACATGTAAATCAATAGTTGATAGTCATACAAACTGGTAGAATTAAATCAAACTTAAATGGTTCTTGAACTAAAAATTCAAAAGGTAAAAATATCATAAACTGGAATATATTTTGTTTTTTGCCTCTGACAAGATTGTTTATATATTTTTCTACGACTGCAATACTTCATTGAGTCAACTCTCCGTAAGGGACCAAATGACGTAGACGTTAGCAACTATATGTCACCGTGCGGCCTTCATCAATGAGCAAAACCCATACCACATAAAAAGCTCTAAAAGCCCCACAATGAAAAATGTAAAACAATTGTAGAAACTAAAGCCTTATTTGTGTAGAAAACAATATAAGAAAAACAAATATGCTTTACAGCAACAAACAATAACCACTTTATTACCGGCTCCTAACTAGGGACAAGAATATGTGCCCGTTACAAATACGTTTCTGAAAGTTAACGTGCGTTAACTAATTCTCATCGCAAACATTTAGGTGTTTTAGATTTTAAAAAAAAATCTTATTATGTCGACCACTTTACCTGTGTGACACACCTGTATATAGGTAATCTAATCAGTTTTGATTTTTGTAGTGCTTAATTGAATTGTTTATTCATTATACATATACCTAAACCTTTATCTAGAGATGGAGGTGTCAACTTCATGGATTTAACCCGATATGACATGGACGAACGGACGGACGGATGAGCATATAGGATGATGGCCGAATATACTAGGAAATGAATTACACCTTTACCATCGTAGGCGGGTAAAAAAACAAAGTTCATCATCATCAAGTTGCTTCATTGAGAATAACAGCATAATACGCTACGTCAACTTCTGTTTGTTTATAATATACCCCTTCCCCTAAACACTAAAATGATAAATAAAGGTAACCAGTAATTATAAATCGTTGTTAGCAATAAATAGTATGCAGTATTTTTTTTTTAATTTAGCGTAACTAATTTATTTTTATATAAAATACCGATAATTTTATTTTGTTGTTTTGATTGGTTTCTTACATAAATGTTTCAGATATTTATAACCATCATTATGAGTTCTTTTTATACACGGAAATATCGTTCATATATAACATTCTATAGTGCATTTAATTTCATGTTCTATGACAAAGGAAATGTTATTTTCAATTGGACAGGAAGATAAGAATATGTTTTAATCTTAAACCTCCCTCAGCATTTCTTGAGCCATTACACATCATGTAATGAACAAATACATTGTAGCTGTACTAATATAATTGCTTTGTGTTTTGTAAACATGTTTAGTTGAATTATAATAAAAGTAAAGTTATTAGTCTGTTGTTTCAAATGTATATGGTTTTCTTACGGCGTAACTTCACTTTTAAGATGAATTATAATGGGATTTTGCAGTCAAAGAATATGAATAATGAACGCGTTTAACATCAAGATGTATTCAAAACTGCAATGTCCATTTATACTTGCAACAGCTCCTCAAATAATCATTATGTAATAACAACGTCACATGAACCGGCTTTGCAAATTTAGTCTCTTTCTCAGCTAAGATTCGATATATTCAAGAATATGAAGATTATTGTCGTTTGCACCGCAGCTAACAAGTATATAATTGTCGTTGTAAATACTTAGACAGTAGGGATGAGTTATATTAAGATTGGTTAAATCTAATATACGGAGACGTGCGCC